GACTATTTGTAAAGAAGTGCGAAGCTGATAGAAACGAGAGCAAGTAAATGGAATCAGTACAACGTACATGAGGGGATTAGATGTTCTTCAAATCCTCTCATTAAAAAGTTTTCAAATAACATCCAACACCTATATTTCATGGTTGTATCATAGAAGGTTCACAAAAAACCTAGAAAATTTGAAATACTCACCTATTTCGTCGAAGCCACTTTTTTGGTAATGAAGACAGAAAATTTAATTCATGCTTAATTAATGACTCAAATAATCCTAAACATTTGTTTTGGCTTAAATATAATCATAAAAAAAAACAAGAAATAAATAAGATAGAAAAAAAATTGAGAATAGGAGAGAAAAATGAAGTTTTACAGCTATAACTTATTACTAACGAGAAGCTACGAGAATACTCAAGGTACTTTTAATAAGTTACCTTTAAATTCAGTTACTGAGTGTTAAAGTAATGAGGTGAGATGCAGTTGTTTGCATAAATGAAGCTTTGAAAATTTAAATGAATAAATCCAAATTTAAGAAAATACAGTTTATTTAAATTTTTTATTATCCCTGACAATTTTAAAGTTACCGTTGCTTTCGTTCGGCGCTTGTTAATTTTGGTGATAAAAACCTCAACATATATACAATATATATACATATATATATACATATATATATCATATACATATCATATATATGCATATATAGCTTCGCTCTTTCAGAGTATCCAAACAAATTTTCATCGAGAAAAATTATCACTGACCGAGACAAATATACATATTCGTGTTTCGAGTTATCTTAGGAGGCAAAATGAAATGAAATTTCTCATTAGAAACAACCTTTCCATGGAAAAATATTAAAATGTCGCTATTTAGGCTTACCTTTTGAACAGAGCGTGTGCTTTACTGGTGCACACGATAGAAATGATGTCTTCTACGTAAAGTAGCAGGTTCTTGGTTGTGTATATCTGCTTATGAAGTCTTCGCATTTATAAAGTGTTTACAATGAGCTCCCGCCCATCCAATTTCCGCCGAAAACTCCTTAATTCACTACACTTGGAATAACTTTTGTTCTTCCATTTCCTTTTGGCGTCGCTCTGTTTAAACATTATGACAGCTATGGACTCGTTAACGTTGGCCTTGTCCAAAGTGGCAATTAAAAAGAAGAAACTTGCTATTCCGGAATGAATTACTATTATGGCTTGTTGCTTAATGGACTTCTTTAGAAAGACAAACCATGAACCTGGTAGTTTCGCAATCCTATGACAAACTATAAACTGACATTTTCGTAATCTTAACTTCAAATTAATTCTTCCGAAGGATTTTCCGCATCAGTCCCCTATTCTATGATTGGAATCACAGTTTATCGTGATTTCCAAACGTTATCTCGCGGGTAACCTATAAAAGTTACTTTCATCACCTGCACTCTTCTCATTCTTCATCGATCAAAATTTACTACATAACCTGGATGTAATATTTTTCTTTCAGACGTCCCTCTACACGATAATATTACGATTTAAGTTGCAAAAACTACTCAGGTTTCTTTGAAGTAGAAGTCGTTTTTACGAAAGGTGTTCTTTGGGTTGAATTTGCTACAGAAAAAGGATTACAGAGCCCATGATGATAATATCTTTTTTTATGCACCAGACGCCATGAATTTTTGTTTAAATTTTGAACTACAACAAAATTAGTAAACAAGGAGAGAAAACTTGCAGCAATAACTTGAAGACTAGGAAATAATCATTAAACTATCTGCCAGTTCTTTAAGTTCTGGCGTCTTCCGTTTGAAAAATGAAACAGCTTTTAGCAATTGAAAGGCATGTGTCGTGCTCTAATAGAAGATATTAAAACCCAATTTAACAGTGTTTGCTTAAAGTACAGTTCCTTTCCTCTAAATCTTCACTTGGGTTTGTCGTTAGCCCACGCTATATATATATATGTCTTCTCAATTAAAGTTTCTCTGAGTTTGTCTTTTTACAATTGCATTTGACACTTCCCGACAAAGAAGCTTTCAAGAGATATGTCGCGCCCAATTCAAAGAGAAATCTGCAAAACTGAATAAATTCCTTATTTTAGATCCTGCGCCAGACGATAATCTTTTATTTATTTGTCGCAACTTTCGTGTTAACAAAAAACTGGTACACATATCTTACTTTCACGAAGAGTTCAATTTCTGATGGAAAAGTGCTCAAAAATATATTCGGAATGATGAGTGATTTATTGATTTTGTTACATGGTTAGAAATCAAGCAATAAGGTAAATTTTGATGCTAATTTTCAATTTATATAACAAAAACAGTTCATAACTTCGAACTCTGCCTATATTACGGTCTTTTACACGAAAATCCATCAGAGTCACATCGAAGATATGGTGATGTAATTTGACTGAAATCCCTTGATCCAATATTCTAGTAAAAGTGCGAAACGTTTATAGCTGTTTCATTTTTTTTGCGTGGGAAAGGACTCAAACCATTATTTTCTTTACTAATAACCATTTGCTAAAGAGAAAAAAACTTTTCAAAACACAACGATTGTTACATGTATTATGGCCTGAGGGTCCTTTAGCGATACGAGACTAATAAGCTTTTGAATTGACTGTTATTGTCAAATTACCTAACAAGAATTCATTAAGTACGTTACGTTTGTTTTAGAAAAATGTCCTATATGCCTCAGAAATAGCTTGAAAAGGTTTAAACGATGTTTTTGGAAACATTTCTTAAAGCTTTTTTAATGTACCGTACGTCTGTGTTTTCTTTTTTCATTCTTTTCCCCATATTCTTTGTTTTCATTGTTATAGTTTAAGAAAACACTAGTTATGTTTAATCCCTTAACAACGATCTCCTTCTGTTAATTTAGATGGAGATAAATTAAGTTCGTGACGCATTTTCCAAAGACTTTCTATAGCTTGAAAGCGTTGTTGGATGTCGTCTGCGAATATGAAAAATCTAAATAATCGCATTCGCGCATCTTTTTAGATTTTTTAAAAGTAGCGATACCATACTGTACTTACAAGACGACCACCCTTCCTGAACAAGTACTTAACAGCTTTATGTCTCTATCATTGTAAAGACTTCTGCAGCTTCTTCGCACAAGAGCATCAGTTATCCTCTTAACAAAATTATGACTGGATGTATTCCTCCATATGTTATGATCGGATGTGCTTCCTGCATATATCATGTTCAGCTTTCAATTGATGAAAATTATTGTAAAAAAATGTTCTCTGCTTTTTTATTTTTAATCAAAATTTTTTTTTTCAATTTTCAAAGCAAGGTTTATAGGCGTTAACGAAGTTATCTTCTGAGAGCGAGGAAGTATAAACACATATAAACAGCAAAGCGGTGCACACATGAACAATTATGACTTACTTGCATTATATAGGATTGTTGTTAGCCTATCCAGCTTGATAGTTCTTAAACAATCAAAATTCTAGAAGAATCGCATTCAAATTGTCCGGGAGTTTTAGGATAACATTTCATCGTTTCTGAAGAGGAACATAATACTGATTATATTGTCGAAAAGGTTGAGAATGAAGCTTGTTTGAAATTAATAGGGTAAGAATACCTATATTTTCCACAGAGCGAAACGCTGACGACGGTTTCAATCATTTTAGGACGTCGTCACGCTCGTAGGCACCTCAGATAGTTCTGATTGGTTTATAAATTCGAAAGCCATTCGGTTTTTACGACGATTTATAAATGTGAAAACGAGGCTTGGTTTTTTGTCTTAAATAATTAAATTTTGTGCTTAACTTCTTCATTTTCCCTCGTGAGTATTAAAATGATAAAAATACGACTCTAAGCAAACTTTGCAAAATGAAAACCAGATGTCCAAGAACCTATGTCAAGCCTCTTCTTAGTGATAAATAATAAATGATAGTTTGTTTTACGGTGGAAGTGTAAACTGCAGGATATCAATTGTCTTTGTGACAAAGAAGCCGTATCCTGATGAAATATTTGACTTCTCTGATGTAGAAGATTTTCTCTATGGAAAAGCTCTGGCCCTAATGAAACCATGCAACAATATTTCATTACTAATTTAAATTTGTGTGGTTATTTGAGTATTATGATAATAATATGACCACCTCATTGAAGGACAACTCTGGCGTCAATTTTTTTCCATTTTTTTAATTTGTCTTGTCCAAACTATCGTTGCAAGAGATTCAATGCAGAGGTAATGTTCTGTGGACATCAGGGTTTGTATCGATGTAACGCTTTCTGCTAAGTTTCTGGAGGACGAATCCATATTGCCAAACGTAGACATGAATTTTAATCTCCGTTTGCATTGACCGCCAAGAGTAGATTTTTAATTATCACCCGGTTTGAAGAGGAAGCCTCATCATTGTGTCATTCATGCGGCTTTCTGTTGAAATTTGTGTCTGTCAAATTGTAGGCAATGTCAAATATCGACATTCGAGGGTAGAATTTAGTTTCAAACGACTTGACAATTGATCGCGATTTTTTTGTTCGGAAAAAGTCAATACAAAGGTCATTTTGTGAGTGACACTCACCGCAAATGCTGAACGTGTTCCCTGAAGAAACAAATAAAAAATTCTACAATAGATAATACTCTATGTTATCTCCCCGAGGCAGGATATCAATTTCACAAAATAAGGAAAGCAGTTTGCGACATTTCATGACGAAATTGACTTTTGAAAAAAAAATTCCAGTTTTGATCACAATACCGTTTATTCCGTGAGCATTTTGATGGGCTGCAATTCTTCTCTGGATTCAAATTTAGAGAGATGATGTGACGTTGATACTTCGGCTTTCGACTGGTCCAAATTTTTAGTGCAAGTTTCTGAAAAGACCAATTGCACGCATCCAATGTTGGACATCCCTTGCGTAGTAGGAATTTGCCGACAATGCAAAAGGAGTAAGATTTTCATCATCTAAGCATCCTTATCTCGAATAAAATAATCTTGCAATTGAATTGTGAATTTGGCCGAAATAGAAACACGAAAAGTAACAAAGAACTTTCGTGTATTTTCTCTATCATTATTTTATTCCTGTTCTATCGTTGGTCTATAATAGTTGATATATCAATAATAAAATAAAATAATTGAAAAAATTATAATTGAAAGAATCATGATAATGTCCTTTTCCTATACATTTACGAACCATTGCATGGAAAAGTGATGAGGGCTAATTTCTTTATACATTGCACGATTCAGTTCACAATTTTTAACTAGGCGTGGTTACCTACACCATGCCAAATAATGTGATCAAGATGATTGCTTCAATATTACTACATTTCGCTCTAAATTAATATTTTTAATGTTGTGAAGGTATATCATGACGCATTACTCTTCAGTTATCCAGTCGTTAAACAAGGCATCCATATCATCGGGTACAAATGAACTAAATGATGTTGATTGCTGAGCTATTCCATTCTATAAAAAGAATTAATTCACAAGGTTGATCGCTGAGCTATTCCACTCTATAAAAAGAATTAATTCACACGGTTAATTGCTGAGCTATTCCATTCTATAAAAAGAATTAATTCACACGGTTGATTGCTGAGCTATTCCACTCTATAAAAAGAAGTAAGGTTGTATCATTCACCCTTTCCTTGCTGAGTTTCACCTAGCCTAAATTGATGAAGTTGAATTCAAAATTTTTAAGTGATTGGAAGAGAAAAGGCAACAAGCTTTATTTTCATCTCGGAAGTTGGAGTTTCATTTTTGCGAGCCGATTTTGCAGAATGGTGTAAAAAATAGTCTTTGATTTGATTATTCATAAATTCCTAAACAGTAAAGAAAATATCACATGAAAATGCTGTTAAGAGCTTTTCTTCTCTTGTTGTTTTATATTTCTCGCAAAAAAGGGCGGCGAACCAGTGAAAGATTAAAGCAGCAACTCGAAGTTAAAATTGTCGCGTTCTCTAATTATCTCACCCTCTTGTCCCTATAACTCCGCTTTCCACGGCTTTTACACTTCCTCAAGTTCCAGGTAAATCCACAGGGCTTACGCTTTCGTCTCTTTTCAATAGCATCTCTTAATTCTCGAATTTCTCTGTCCAGTACTTGAGAGATTTCGGACGCCTCACTGTAGTGTAAGGTGTGCAAGAAAAGTATCACTACAAGAACACTCAGGACGAGCAGCGAAACTTTCATCATAGCAGCTTTTATCAACCCACTGGAATGTGAATGAGAAAAGCGTCCTTGTTGTCGAGCATGAAGAAAACAAAATAATAATCAATTAACTCAATACAAGATACAACCTTCGATAATTTAATCAAGAAACCGCACTTTCTATCGCACTGATAGAAAGTCGGTCTATTGCTTTTACTAGATAAACTTAAAAACAAATTACAGTGTTTCAATTTTCTATGGCTTTACCGGTGCAGCAAACGATAGGCTTTTTACCAATTAGGGATTTCTAAGTATCTCAGTTTTTTTACAACAAGTATTTGGCACTGCATTTCTTGAGTAATAGCGGAAACGGGAATTACAAGTGGAAAGCGAAGGAGGAGGACGATGAAGCTGTAAAGAACTACCTCGTGAGGGACCAGAAAGGCAATCTTTTTAAAACGTTATCCAAACGGAATCATGAAAATAGGGGATTCAAACATCGATCTTTTCCACCAAAGGGCGTACTTAGAGGCAGAAGATTAATGAAATACGAAGAAGTCCTGAATAGGGGAAAATACGTGAAATGTCAAATTCTTTTCATAAAGGCATAGAATGATTTCGATTGAAAACTACACTTGGACGAACCAAAGAAGATGGGGAAGGGGGGGGGGGGGGATATGGGACAGTAAAAAATACAACACACGACAACCGTTCCTATGCTAAATCTAAGAGGAATGATAACGTGAATAAGTCTTGCCAGCTCCGTAGTGCGTGACTAGGTCTACCTGCCTTTCAGAAAAAAATGCAGCATCTTACTAAAATCTTCCGTAGGAAAAATTGCACACGTCTCGCCATTTGATGCAGTATGCACGGTTAAGTGAGTAGCACGGAGTTTGAAACCGGCCTTAAGAGAAATATAAGCGATGTCTATATTCAGCTGTCTTTTGCTTTGCAGCAAAAATCCCTTGGCACCCTTCCGACTGATATGAAAATTGATAACAAAAACTTCAGATCTTCTCTCGGTGAAACAAGAATACGTTTATGAAGAATGATGGTAAGGCAAAGAAAACTGCTAAAGTTTCAACTCCCAAACGCTTTCGTTTGAGATGGTGAATATTTTTTTGGGATGCAGAGACAATGATAGTGATTAAACATTTACAAAAGATAACAAAAACAAAACTACTGCAAGCCTCGGTATTTCTTAGTCACAAATTCGGAAGAAATCAGTCTTTCCAAAAGCTGTTTGTTCAGTCCCACACATTGTTATGAATTAATTTGCGGTTCATTTCGTGGGAAATTGACTTTCATATGCTTCATAAAATTTGTTTTCATTGTCGCTTTGTTAGCTTGAGTAGGAGTTACCTGACAGTAAGATATACAACAGCACTTAGTTTCATTTACAAGATACATCGAGATTCTTCCTTTTGTGTTTAATACGATATCTATCGCCATGTCACTTAGAGGTATTCGAAGTCTTGCGGTTTCATTAGCGCTGATTCCGAATTCTAATTAAGTTTTACAAGTGGATCCTCTGTTTTTCTTTGTTTTTTTGGCAAAATGTTTTGGTAAGCACAACCACTGTTTGCCGTTAACAAAGCAGGATAAGTTTAGTAGAGAAATCATGCTCGTAGCTTTCAAAAATACTCACTCGGCTGCAAAGCTTGGCCTAAGAAAACCTGCCTTGACTAAAAAATTATTCAATTACTTTGTGATCCCAAAAATCTTACGCCCTAAATTTTCTTCCTTTTGTGTAGCAATTTTAGTCATCAGACAAATACTCCGTTGTTGAATGGAGCAAAACCCAGGTATTGACCCTCCGTGTGCATTTTTCTGTCTATTGCTTTCCAAGAAATCAATTTGAAAAAGGGCGGACCTTCTAATAGCCATGATCTTCTCTTCAATGATCAATTCCTCAAATTAAACGACTTGCACAGATGAAGCAAAAAGTGACAATGACAAACGTCGTACGATAAATTTGTCTACACTCACCTTGCTTAGCGTTACCTGGAAAAAGTGTCTTCGTTCCTGATTCTCCCCAACGATGGCCAACGCTGAGTTCCAAATTTTTAATTTATAAACAGTGCCGCTTTCCTTGCCTATCTTCTTTTAAAGTGGTTGCGTAGATAACCAAACGCCTGCGTACTTGTGATGGAACCAATGAACGTCTTGATGGTTTAAGTTTGGAAAACGCATCTTCGGTTTAACTAAGGTTGATGGTTTTCGTAATATTCATCCATTCGAAATAATGAAATATTGCAATTAAACAACTTCAGGCCAAGTAAGAACAATTAGTACTTTGCAACCTATGTATAAATTTTCTCATCGATACAAATACGGCTTCAATTGGAAATTATTTCCATTGGCAATTTTTAACAAATTAGATTATTTTGGACTTTTGGACTTCTTTTCCCTCGAAAAAAATTCTCAGATTTATCGAATTTGTCAAGATTTGTAAAATCGTGGACTCGAAAAAAATGACGAATTCCAATTAGCCTAGCAAATTACTAAAATGATTTTTACCCGTTGTGTTAAATCTTTGGTCTCCCAGCATCCAATGATAATACAGTTTTACTTCTTGGGATCTTCTGGATTATATTCACAGATAGTAGAAGATAATGAAGAAGACAATATTTGCGGGGAATAATGAGAAAACTTGCATAATTATTTAAGTAGTCAGCGTTGATTACGCTGTTAAATAGCAGTAATTTTACGCCAAAGGTTTTTTTATTCAAAGTCCACATTAATTTCATTATTTTCTTTTTATACCATACGATTGGGTGTAACGTATTAGTTCTGTTCATGTCGAAATATTCTATCGTTACGATCTTTATTTGGATGTTTTTTTCTAGTAGAAGTTTTGCTATCTTTCGTTTGTTGATAATAACTTTACGTTTGAGCTATGACGTCAAAATCAGACAGATTTAAACCACAAAACTTTTTCCCGTCTCATAGTTATCATGGTCTCCCTTTTAGTTCCATTACTGTGATAAATTTCAAATAATTGTTAACTCTTTGTTGAAATGTAATACAGAGAGAGAAAGAGAGAGAAAGAAAACAGAATCCTCATGAAAATTTATCTGGTCGCTGCTTTTTTATACGATATGAGATAATTTGTCGTATCAGCAGGAATGTACATGAAGTATTTGAAGAAATTTTTGGAAAAGTGTATCTTTGGAAAACTTCCGGTATTGGAAAATATTTCTTTGAGTTTTACGATTAACATGCAAAGTAATTTGCAAAATTAAAAGGTCGAAGTCTGTTTCTCTCTATTTTTTTGTCGATACAGTTATCATTTCGATCACTTTTAGAAAGGAAACTCACATCTGTGAGGTTTTGTAATCTGAATTGCAGCTCTTCGGTCGTTTTCAAGAAGCACTGGTTAGAAATATCACAAACATCTGGCATAGTGTTTGTCCATTGATGTTTTTTATTTCGATACAAAGTTTGTTTAGCTCCTGATTTTGAATTACTTTTCAACAGCTCTTTTTCAGATGGGTACGCGATTTTCACAAGTAACTTTGATTACCACATTTTTAGTTATTTTCAAGGTCACTTAATCTCGCCAAAAAGCTGAAAGACATGAACAGGGGACTTTCATTTCGCTATTTGTCAAAAAGGAAATGATTCATTAGTATTTAGTCCCCCCAAAAAATCCAACTTTTGATTTTTGACTGCAGAATCTTAATGAATAACAGACCTTCGAAGGAGGAGAGAAAACCAGCAGGATCGTTTTGGACCGAGTGTAGGTTATCAAATTTCTCATTTTTCTCTTTGTTTTCGTTTTATGTTTGGAATCTTGGTAATCGCGAATTTAAAGACCCATGAGAGTGAGTTAAAATTAAGGAAATGAGTTCATGGTTGAAATTTTTCAAGAAAAAGTAATATCATGGCAATGCAAGGCATAATAATCTTAAAATAGGGAAAAGTATGGTTTCTTCAGGTTGCTCTTAATTTATCAAATTTGACTGTGATGCGTTTATGGCTAGATTTTGACCGGGTCTATTCAACAGTAAGAATTTGATGTAAAATATTCAAAGCACTGTTATGAGTAATTATATAGCTTGGATCTAGCGTCATTTCATTCGTGAAATATGAACATCATTTTTAGTTTCGGCTTAAATCTGTGTATGCCGTTTTAGTACCATTTAAAAGTTGTGCTTAGCAGAACGTTCCTCAAACATTTCTTACCTATGCATCACCATTTTTAAGAGAGATAGATGGCTATATAACCTTTTGCTCTGCTGTAGTTTGTACGCATTTTTAGCCTGCAGATAGCAAATTCTGGAAGGGAGAAAAAACATAGCAAGTAAGGGAAAAATGAGATACTAGACAATGTAGGTTCTACTGAATAGCTTACTTAAATGATATTGTCAGCACTTCAAGATTCATTCAATAGCTAGCTAATAATGACCTTTCGCCCCCAACCCTTTCTTTCTTGTAATATATTTTTTAATAGAACTTCTCAAAGTGAGAAATTTGAACCCCTCCTGGGTGTTTTTAAATGGATTCTGAAAGGTGGGCGTTTTAGCTCTCCTGGAACATTTATACAATAAGTATAGTTAGATAAAAAGAAAATCTGAAATTTTCAATCTGTAAGAAAAATTCTAGGCTTGTGAAGGAGGAGAAAGAAAGTGAATCGATGCTAAGCTCGCATTTTTGTGATTTGATTTAATCCATTCCAAGTGGAATTAAAGGCTCTAAGCTTTCAGTCAAAAATTATCTTTATACTAAAGCGATGTGATGCAAGGAGGGATTCTAAGTTTAATGTTTTAGGTTTGTGAAGCTATTGTTTCGCTCCTACGCACGCTAGTGCCGCGTTTAAAATTGTTCCTTTAGAAAGTGGACTCTCTATCTTTTTCAAACAGGAAAAACAATTTTGCAATCTTTAAAAATGTTTCGTAAGCACTTTCTCTAGAATTTTTTTCAACAAAAAGAAAAGAAAAGTGTTGAGGAAAAAATTAGTGAGGAAGGAACAAAGAAAAGAGGAAAAACAGACAAAAGCAGAGAAAAAAGGAAATAAAAAAGAATTGATCAAAGAGACGATGAAAAATGGAAAAAAGAGCGAAAATACAGATAAGGAGTGAGGAAGGGAAGGAAAAGTTAA